GGAAGAGGATTGCAGGATAATATGGCGGATTCAGATTAGCGTCTTTAGCACAATGATAGAGAGGTGAGGTGAGAAAGTCAGTTGGGGTGTGAAGAGGTCTCATGAGATCCGCTTGGAGGGCACAGCGTACCAAATTCTAATTAAACAATTAGGAAATTGTGATAGTGAAGGAGTGATTCGAGGATATATGATTGGTGAATAGTCCAGGGCAGAAGGAGGGATACCACAATTGGTTAGCAAACAATTGGTCAAAGAATCAGCTTCACTTGTCTTTTTGACTAGTGGTAGTGTGGTGCTAAGAGTGTCAATGCTCGTTGACGATGCCGGCGAAACGCCTGTGATTGTGCCACGTCCACAGGTCGACTTTGGAAATTATCATGCATATTATGAACTCCGGACTAGGTTCGTTCTTCTATGTCTTACTGTCAATACGACCAAGTTGCGCAAAAAGGTCAAACGACCACTATACAACGAAAGGAGACCGTGACCATGCAAATGGCCATTCCATCTTGGTTTTCATACCTTTCCAAAAAAATCGTCTATACAATGCGTTTCATAATAGAATTCCTGAAAATGTAAAATCCTAATCCACTTAATTTGCATATCTCCGATACATAAGCATTATTTTGAAATATTAAGGTGACAGCTGCTGTCTCATAAGGTGAAATCATAATTTACCACATGCACGCAAGCTTAGATGGCACTTGTTATGCTCTCAACTTGAGTCATGGTTTTTAGCATCTATTTAGCGATATTTGAATCAATTGCATACTTTAACTAGATGAATAATTTTTTTAAATACTTTTATTTAATCTCGCCAATTGTAGTGATACAAGGGAATTACTAAATGCATTGAATTTTTCATGATGTCCTATTCGCGTAATAGTAATAGAAGACCAGTGACTCAAATTCTATATTTCTTTTTAGCTTCTACCTTAGAGTCAATACAAAAAGAATGCATTTGGATTATCCTAATTCAGTACAATCGATTTCCTTAGAGGAAGAAGCACATCTTAAGCACAAAAGCTCAATGAAGGTGAGCCTATTATTACAGATTTATTATATTCAATTGAAGATTTGGACTGATTCCCGCTTTATTAGCATAAAAAAATTCAATGAAGCTAATTTAAGGCATTTCTTGCATAATACTTCTTATTTTATAATATATTTACATATATTGTTTGTATGCTGAGCTTATTCCGGTTAGAGACTATTTTATTCTCTTAAGTTCTAAGATCTCTTGACTATAAAATTATGCGTTTATGATATAACCACTTACAGTTTACGAATCATAATTGTATAATATATGTATTGTGTCTAGTGACTTCTAAAACTAAAAGAATATGGTATGAAAACCAAGATGGTGGGGCTTTTGTGTGGTCGCAGTCTCCATTCGTTGTATAGAAGTTGTTTGACCTTGTTTTTGCAACATGGTCATATTGGTAGGAAGACTTAGAGGAACGCACCTTGTCCGGAGTCCATTATATGCATCATAATTTCCAAAGTCGGACCGTGGACGTGGTACATTCCCAGACGTTTCGCTGGCATCGTTTTCGGCATCGTCAGTTAGTTTTACCATTCGTAGCACCATATTACAACTCGTCGAAGAGACAAGTGAAGCCGATACTTTGACCAAACGTGTGCTAAACAGTTATGGTATCTCCCCTTCTGCCCTGGCCTATTCAGATTTCCTATAGCCTCCTATCACGGCTTCACTGTCACAATTTTTTACTTGCTTAATTAAATGTGGTACGGTGTGCCCTTATGAGCGGCTATCATGAGAACCCTCCGCATTTCACGCTGGCCTTTTCATCCCCTGCATCCTTGTGCTGGAAATGTGGACCAGAGTCTGCTATATCGTTACGCAGTTCTCCTTCCCTAGGTCTTACCACAGTCTCTCTCTTGCCCCGAAAGATCCGTCTGCTCTCTCCCTGGTTCACAAATTTTACTCGACACTTGCCACCCTATCTGTGCTCTCGAGGCATTATTCGCCCTCCACTGCGTCTAGGTGATTAATTCGAGACTCAAACCTCTGAGTAAATGTCATATTCACGCCTTTGCCAAATTGAGCACGTCTCTTACAAAAACTTCCGTCAGCCCACTAGCTCCAATCGCCGCCGTGTCTATCCTGTTTCTATTTCTAATACCAAGTCTGTGACTTTCCATGCCTTAGTCTCTTGTGTGCCAACCCACAATCGATGTGGTTTAATATTGAACCTAACCAAAGCAAGAAGTACCATGAGAAGTCATAGACTTGGTATTAGAAATAGAAATAGGATAGGCACGGCGGCGATGGGAGCAAGTGGGCTGATAGTAGTTTTTATAAGAAAAGTGGTCCATGTGGCAAAGGCATGACCATGACATACTCAGAGTCTTGATACTCGAATTAGTCCCTCAGACTCAGGGTAGGGCCAATAACGCCTCGAGTGGCACAGATAGGTTTGCAGGGGTCGAGTGAAATATGTGAACCAGGGAGAAGGATCTTGCGGGGCAAGAGGGAGACTGTGGTGAGACCTACGGAAGGAGGACTGCGTAACAATATAGCTAAAACAAGGTCAAACAACATATATACAACGAAAGGAGACTGCGAATACAGAGCAGGCCAAACCATCTTGTTCTTCATACCTTCGATTAATATATGGAAGTAAGATTGCCAAACAATGCACTAATTACAGCCGAACAAAGAAGACAATTTTAGTCAATCCTGCCACTTCGTTTCAAGTCTATATTAAGGAAAGATCTAAGTAGGGTTCTCACTTTGGATGATTTTCAAAAACTTCAGAGCATGACAGACCAGAATTCACAGAGAATCCAGGATCTGATAAATAAGTGGCATGACAAGAAATTACTTAACTATGGAATAATAAGACAGCGCAAGACCAAGCCAACCCAGGGAAATTTTGATGGTTCTTTTATGAAAGCATCAACTGCTACAGAGGACGATAGGACAAAGGTAGTAAACCTATATTCAATCCCTCTTGATTCTGTAACTACGGATCCCTTAGAGAAGGGTTTACATTTTCAACTAGATAATGAAGGAAACATTCTTAGTGATATTCTGGTGGAAGTTCACAACATAGCGGATAAATATCCAGAAGATACAAAGCAGGAGATTGAACTGGAAATAATCCCATGGATCCTGAGACATCAAGAACTGATACAGATTGTCTGGTATTCGGAAAAAAATTACAAAAGAATGATCAAATGGTTATTTAGGCGAATAAGGGGGGGACGGCTGTAATGGACAAGAAACAATATACGGAGAAAATGGAAAGTATTCTTGGCGACCGGAACACTTATCAAATATTAAGCAAAAATCCAACCACGAAGATCAACGGGACACAAAAGAATTTGATAAGGAAATGCATAATAATGGGGAAATTGACAAATAGGGGATGAAATCTTTAGCAAAAATGACACAAGGCCACTTACAGCCTACGGACTACCGAAGATACACAAGGAAGGAAATCTGCTGAGACTATTAGTCAACAACAAGCATGGAGCAATGCATAAACTAGCGAAATTCATTTGCTTGAAGCTCAAGA